CCCCAAAACCCCAAAACCCCAAAACCCCAAAACCCCAAAACCCCAAAATCTTGGGAAGGTATTGAAGAGTAAATTAAAGTAAGAGTTCATATAAAAATGCCAACAGAGAAAGAACTAGATCTTGATAAACTTCTCGCTATGTCTAAGACTGACACTACAGCATGAGTCGAAGCTCTTATTACTGAAGTTAGAAGGCTTAAAGGAGTTATGGCTGAGAATGAAGCTCATTTTAGACAAGAAATTCAGAAGAGAGATCAAAAAGTGGTAGATTTGACCCATAAGTTGGAGAAATACAATAAGATATTTTCATCTTTTAGTCGTGTACTGACCAATAATGGATTTGGAAGCAACCATCATCACTTTCATCGTAAAAGAACTTCGCTCAAGTTTGCAAACAAGGAAGAAGAAGAAAAGGAGTGGAGTGGTGATGAGAGTGACGAGTTCCATTCATTCGAAGGAGATCTAGACGGATATGAAAGTGATGAAGAGGTTAAGGAGGAAATTAACAAATTTGGAAGAGATTTGTCCAAATACGTGTAAGTTCTATCATCTCCTCATTTGTATTTGGAGATTCTTGGCCTGCTCAAGTTATGACTAGGTTCAATTTCTGTCAGGTTATGTTCCTTGCTTTTTATGTGTTTGAGAAAATGACATCATCGAAAATATAGAGATCCAAAAGACGAAGATAATCCACTGTTGCATGAGAAGATGAAAGTGTTTCACGACATGCTAGACTTGTCGAAATGGACTACAGTGAAATCAAAGGACGATATCGAGTTATTCGTGTACTCAGGGGAAGAATTTAAAGCAAGTGGGACAATGTCCAGTACTATCTTTGATTACACTCCTGATCAAATCATACATTTTCTGACAATACCAGGCCAAATTGAGAGTTGCAGTTCTGTTATGGAGAAGAATGAAATCATTGGGAGTGTTTCTCAGGATGTCAAGATAGTTTACATGAAGATAGCAAAAATATTGATGATAGCATCTCGCGACTTTGTCATGTACTCAAGAAGGTTCACAAGCGAAGATTCTAGAGAAAATGTGATATTTTACTCAATCGAAGATGAAGAGTAGTAAGTCTCAGATATGTAACTGTTTTGACGTTTATTCTAGCCTGAAATCTAATGGAGTAGACAAGCCTCCGCTTACTGATGGAACTATAAGAGCCGATGTCTTGATCGGAGGGTGGCATTTTGAAGTACTTGGGCCTAACAAGACCAGGGCAACTAACTTCATGGTCAATGATTTCAAGGGAAGCATTCCAAAAATGGTGTTAAACATGGGAGCGTCAACTCAGGCTCAGGTAATGACAAACATGAAAAAAGCTATGAAAAAACTAGTAGAGGAAGGGGAGCTATAGTTTAATTTCTCCAACCAAAGTAAAGAAAGAGGGGTTTTGGGGTTTTGGGGTTTTGGGG